TCTATTAATTAACTGTAAATTATTTGAGAACCATACGTGGTTATACCACAAGGTTTGAATAAAGAATTAATCTAATCTAATCTAATACATACTATATATATATAAGTTTAAGCTTTCTTTCACCGTAAATGTACACGTGCAGCAAAGGGACGCGACTCACCGACCTCCTTGCGGGGTTATTGGGTTATACGCACAACTCTGCAGAGCTCATCCCGTGTGCATAAATGCGTGCATGGTCGTTTGGCCATTTGCCATGGTCAAGGTGAAAAAAAAAAACTCTTTTTAATCATGCACAACACACAAATATTACGTATTTATAATACTTTTATGATTGCGTATAGCTAGATGCGATTAATGAATCCGTGGGTTTATTATTCAGAGATCGAGCAATCGTTATCGCGTGACCCAAGTACATAATAATAATAATACATATTGTTGTACTTGCGTCACGAGCTCGACGCAAAAACCACTCGAAGTTTCTTCGCTCGCGCGTTCGTTTATCATGAAATATACATGTATAATGTTATGTATGAATAGGTCGGTGTTGTCCGGTGGGTGGTGGCTTTGGTATTTACCAAATTACGCGTACACACGCGTATAAGGGTACGAGGGACGAATTTTCAATAGCCCGACGTAACGATCAAGTGTATTGTCGTACCGCCTATGATATGGGACCTTGGACTCTCGGTCTCTGTACGTAATGCGTATATTGTTGCGGGGGGGGGGGGGGGGGGGGGGGTTCCGATTATCGATTCGGATTTTTTTTTTTTTTTTTTTTTCTTTTTTTTTTTTTCTTTAGATTACTTTTGTTTTGCTTTCGTTCGCGCAATTATAAGTACACGGAGTTAGGGTATACACGAGCGCGTTAGCCGTTACGTCACGTGTGCACATTGTTGTGGATTTTGATTGGATGTGTATTTTCCTTTTTTGAAGGTTCCGTTACGTGGATAATTAGTATCGTTTTGTCGGACTTTTACGTAATTACGTGGGAATTTGCGATTCGTTAAATGCTCGATACACCCAGATTACGACATTTCATTAGAATTTGAACTGTTGTTGTATCGGCTATTTTTTTTTTTTTTTAATAAATAAAAGATCAACTATACGAGATGTGGTTGAAAAGTCCCCAGCACGAGTAGCTCGTTGAGTAATGTATTGCAACTACTCGAGTACCACCTGTATGTATTACACAATGTACCCCTTCGAGTCCAATTACAACGGTACACATATACATACCCGCAGCACCGAATGAGTATGTATATAATGATGCCATAGGTAAATCAGCTCATGGGTATAAAAATGCTTAATGGTGTGCAATAAATTTGTTTTTTATGGTGATTTTCCTCCATCCAGTATTTCTCCTCTTCTTTTTATACACTGTATTTGCATTTCGGCACATCGCGCCTCGGCTACAACTGGGACGACGTTTCTTACACGTCGAGACGATGTATCGCTGCCACTTTTTATACATATACGTCACCTTATACTTTGCAAGGGAAAAGCAAAGAAGAAACGATACAAATACATTTGATTTCGCCAAAGCTCATTTCTATATCGCTCCTAAAAAAATAAAAAAGAGAAAGATCCTGAATTCCGAAAAAAATAAAATGTTTATATATGTACTCATTGCGCAGGTACAAAAGTCATACAAATTGTTTATCTGCGCGTATATTAATAAAGTACACACTACACGTTATTCATTCAACACGAGTCAAAGCGACAATTTTTTTCATCGTTGCATAACTTTTCCGTTTTTTCCTCTAAAATGTGTACCCCTACCCATATACCCGATGACTTTCCAAAAACAACCCCTCGCAGGCGTTCACTGCAGCTGACGGCCAGACATCAATGAAACCCCTCAAGCGAAACAAAGAAAAGTCTTCTTAGGCAAAAAGAAAACAAAGAACAACACGAGCGAGCAAATCTTGTCAATACAAATACATAATACAATGCGTCTGTATATGCATACACATGGTATGATGGAAAAGCTGTATAAAGGTCACTGACACTTGCAATGTGCATGTATATGTGTGTATGTGTGTGTACACTTACACTCACGATGCGACTTAAGCTCCCTGAGAGATATATCCGCACGCGTCTCCGTAATTCACACGCATAAATGTGCAGTACGGCACTCATACACATGACGAATTAATTTCTGCCAATGCAAAATACAATGCGTTATCTGATGCCTCTTTATACAAGGAAACTGCCGAATTAATTATCACTAACATCCCTTCATCAATCAACCTTAGTAATCAAGATATCATCAAAAGCGTTTTTCAAGCAATAGGCTGTCAAGAATTTATTAGTTATGTTGCACGTACACGCGATTGGGCACCGAAAGTACAATCTAATCAGAGCAATCAAAGACCATTATCTCGCGCCGTTTACGTTCGCATGAACTCACTGGACATTCGAGATCAAATATTAGAAAATTCTAATAAACTTTCAAAATCTAAATCTTCTACTCTCTTCGGCAATGGAGGTGATACAGCGATATATCTACGATCATTACTCCCTCAGCCTGTTTATAATTTATGGCGTAACCTTATTAAGGTTCACAAATCTATTAATTACTATTTTCCTGTAATGAAAAATTTAACGGTTTGTATGCGTAAAACAAAAGATTCAGCATTGATCCCAATTCGATCTGATAATGAATTGAAGGCCCTCGTTAATGGCATGAATAGTTCTCAAAATTGACGCCACTTAAATAATAGTACTCAAATTCCTATCCCCAACTTTTTAACAAAAACAAACTTATACAATCTTACAATAGCTACAATAGTGTTAGAATAAGTCTAATCAATAACGTTAAATTTATTTATTGCCAAATTACACGATTGTTACTATTACCAATTTTATTAATTATTTTGTCAATTCTAATTATATGTATTCTGCGAACTATTACTTTTGTCATCTTCACTGTATTCTTATTCCATTGTTATTAATTATGTTGATAAATTGTTATGTATCTTATTACTCTATTAATTAACTGTAAATTATTTGAGAACCATACGTGGTTATACCACAAGGTTTGAATAAAGAATTAATCTAATCTAATCTAACACATGCATACATGTGAAGGTATATGTGACAATTCTAATTTTGTAAACTTTGCTGCATACGGGGCTCACAAAATCAAACGAATTGTACTCTCTTGTATTTCGTGTAAAAACTGAGCATGTGCCGAGTGGTCGTAACGTGGTAATCACACACGTGTCACATAAGTTAGCGCGTGAGCTTGTGTCTACTACGGTAACTATGCCGTGTGGAATACGCAATTTCAGGCGACAGCACGTTAATCGAGTAAAGAAATGTTGTTTGAGTCATACACAAAAAGCGCGTAGGTACTCGTGAAAATAATGATTCTGCAGTTTGAAAAGGAAAAGAGACAAAGCTAACGTGGTATTAAGAGAGAAATCCAATACACGTGTATAAGTATGTATATGTGTAGGGTATATATACGAGAGAATAATCAGTCGAGAACACATGAAAAGACAAAGGCCATACAGAAGTGTAGCGGAGGGGGTGGGAGGTGCGCGTGGGTGGGTGGCGCTCGAGAGCGCAATATTCCCTCTGTCTTTGTGCGATTTACAGCCGGTGACAAGAGCAACCGAGCGCGCTCGTGTTTGTATATGATTATTCACGGGGACACTGTGTTTTATCACCACCGGCGGAACGATTCTCGCACGACTCCACGACTATACGACTGCGTGCGATTGTAATCGAGAATAATTGTACCGACACGCGTCTGCGTAAGCTAGATTGGCGCGTGTGTCGCCCAGATACTCGTACAAGCATCATAATGGGCCGTGCGAGCAGCTTTAGTGTCCAAAGTCGCATATGATCGCTCGATCGTTTTATCATTTTCCATTGTTTCATGCCAACGTACGAGCAACAAGGAACATACCAATACACAAAAAGTTTGTATACATNAAGTATAACCGTAATGTGAAAAAAAAAAAGAAATTCCTTTGAACTATATTTGAAAAAAATCAGGAGATAGAAGGGGGGGGACAAAGAAACCTGTATGGTGGATCGCCGTCGCAGTCAAGGTCGTCCTCGCTTCCGTCCTCGTTGGTGCCATCGGCCGAGTAGCTCCTGCCGGGGCTGTCGTGGAGGCCGGCGTTTTTCGGGCCGCCCCGATGCCTGAAGCAGAGATCCGGCGTCGGCGGCATCACCGATATCTTGGGCGGCAGGGGCGAGAAGGGGTCGCGCGCCGGTGGCGTCGGACACCCGGACCTGCGGCGCATATTACTACGTTTCGATAAAACAGACGATTCGGTTCTTCAGTTCGGCTCTGCGCCCCGTGTGTATTTACGTATGGTTATTGGGGCTTTTATGGTTTTTATGGTTTAAAGAATATCTAAAAAAAAAAAAGGAAAAAGGAAAAAGACAACTTAGAAAAAACAGAGAGAGAGAGAGAGAGAGAGTGCGGCGGGAGCTAGAAATAGAGGAAGAAGAAGAAGATTTAGTTGTTTAACAGCCACGAGGTGGTGGGAAAATGTACCTGTGACACTTTCTACACATGTTTATCGAGTTTATTACGCTGGAGGGCAGTGGCGGCGAGGGCGCGTCTCTCGGTTGGATGGCCACCCCGTTTTTTTTCGCGGGTTTGCTGTTTGACTTTACCGTGCTGATGCTGGCGCTCGACGCGCTGCTCTGCTGCTCCGCGTCCGAATTCGCCATCGTGCTCTCTTCTGCTGCTGAAAGTCAGGAAATTACAGCAATTACGTCACCGATCCCTTTGAATAATATCCTTTGCTCGACTTTTGAAACGGAAGATTGTTTTTTCTTTCTCGTAAGTAGGATTGGGGTGGAGTTTACTAATTATACGGTAAATTTGCTGTGACGCGTTATTTTAGCTTTTTAGCTTTTGTTCGGCTTGATCAAGAATTACGTGTTTTTTTTTTTTCTCTCTTTTTCGCTTGTGACTAGTTTTTTTAAAATAGTTTTCGAGTAAAAAAAAAAAAAAAAAAAAAAGAGAAAATCTGCAGTTACAAAAAAAACAATTCATTCAAACGAACATTAATGAGAATATTCCAAAAAAAATTAATTTAGCCAGAAATAAATGAAAAATTAATTAGGTGTAAAATGAAAAATTAACCATTTTTGTATAAAGGTACATGAAAAGAAAGAGAGATTTTTCGATGGGTGTGTAAGTGGATGTTTTACGTAAAATCACCCAATGGAATATTAAAACGGGGATAATTCAACGTTCAGGTATTTAAAGTGTCCGACCTTCCGACAGGTCGCGAGTAGAAGAGTTGGACTCCTTGGGCGTCCTCGCGGCGAGTTCCTCGGGCGTCCACTCCTCGATGAGCGCCTCCTGGTCTGGGGGTGGTATCTGGTGGGAGTTGCGCACCCACTGGGCCAGATGATGGTTGCCGTCCTCGTCACCTTCCGCGTCCACCACGTCTCGAATCGGTCGCTCGGCCTCGAGGCTATTTTCACCCGATCTCTGGTGCTGATGCTCCTCCGCGAGCTGCTGCGTCGATCTGTAGATCTATACGAACACGGGTGCATTGAGTTACAATTTTATTTTATTTTTGCACCATTTATTCTATTTTTCAGTGATAACGTTTGACAAACATGTGGTTTTTTTTTTTTTTTTTTTTTTTTTCCAACCGGGCCAAATATAAGTTATTCTTTTAATATCAAAGTAAAGTTTTTGTATTATTAAATGTACGCTATTTTGTTCTCGTTACGCGTGTGGCAATTAGTAATGGCTTATATAAGCTTAATAGCTATATTATTTTTATAAAAAATTACATAGAAATTCAATGACCTCTGGACTACCCGTGATTTCGCGTTGCTGTTGATTGTTGGAGTGAGTAGTGTTGGCCACGTGGTAATCGATGACTGTGGTCGGGCTGTCGTCGTCGGGACTGTCGAGGCCCAATGGACCGGACGCACCCCCGTAGCCGGTATTTACGTAGATTCTGTAATATACCAGATTTCTGGTGGGCGGGTTTCGACCGCTTTACTTATTACTGCCTCTGCTCTTTGCTCTATATTATTTTTTTTGACTGACGTCCATTGTGTGTAAATAATTTTATTTTTTCATTTATTTACTCATACCATTATTTTTTTTTTGGAGACGAATCTTTGCAGCTTTGAATCAACGATATGACTTAATTATTAGTTTTTTATTCAAAAATAACTTTAAAACAACTATTGAAATTTATTTGAAGGCCAAAGAAAATTATAGAATTGACATTAGTCCTCAACTGATCGTAAGTACGAATTATTGTGCACCCAGTTGCGATTCAAATATTCATATACCTATACAATATCGATAAAAAAAACTTGTGTACAGTTAAAGTAAATTACAAAAAAAAACATAAGAAAAAAAGCATCAATGCAAAGGCTGTTTTCAAGCAAACCTGATGTGTGCAAAATTTTAATTCTACCATATATTATACATACAATACTTAGTACTTTGTTTCGCAAGGCGTATAAATTACTTACAAGTGACATACTGATAAAATAGTGATTTTACATTTCGCTACGTACAATTTTTTGAGAAATATCGATAAAATTTGCAAAATAAAAAATCCATGCCATATCGTGGTGAGAGAAATCGACGATTTCTCTATGCGAAAAAAAAAAAAGAAAAAAATTGCACTTTTCCAGTTTCCATATGTACTGGTGGAAGTTGCGAAGAATAAAAATCAAAATACAGCTTGGAAAAAAAACACAAAAAAAAAAAAAACATTTCGTTCGCCCAATGGTTCGTCAACCAAAAAATAATTCCACTTGGAATCATCGAATACTTGATAAAAAACAAACCACAGGACGAAGCAAAATAAATAAAGCAGACCGAAACGAAGGCCAAAAAAAAAAAAAAAAAAGCTCTCGCGAGGCATGTTGTCATCCTCGACACCATACATACTCATGTATCCTTACCGGACTGCCCGTGAAACTCTCGTCGTCCGGTCCCCCGGAGGTCGGCGTGCCCCAAATGTCATCGCCAGAAGTACCCCCCGAGGTCGTGCCCTCCTCGTCTCCGTTGCTATTGGGATCCAGCGAGGAGCACTCGGTGCGTTCCGGCGGCACCGGCGCCTGCAGAAAGCAGCCCTCGTTGAAGTGCTCGAGTATCGACATCTTGCTCACAACGTAGCTGGTCGCCCGGAGCGACCAACCCCTCAGGCCCGACGGCGGCGACTCCACGCCCGACTCCTCCTCCCCCAATTGCTCCTCCAGATCGTCGTCCTGGTCCAAACTGCTCAGCGTTCCGTACCTCCGCAGCGCTCTGACAATTATTATTAAGCACCATTACTTACTACGTCCATCGGTGTACCACGAAGTAAGGGTGATTCTTTTTTTTTGGGCATAGTTACATTTGTCACAAGTTGCTTTGGGCACGTTTTCACTAGAACAATAGCATAGAATACAGCTACAAAATTAAAATTTAATACCATTGTGCTCCCATGGTATGAGTGTGCATGGGCACGTATTTTCGGCTACCTCGGAAAAACGTTTTGTTCGTATTCAGCGAGTTTCAATGAATAACTTGGGTAAAATATGGAACAACTGGTATACTGGTAAGAAAATATACGTTAAGTTGCATCGAAAAAGTAATTGTTTAGTATCACTACCCGATTTATCTATGTTTTAAGAATGTCTAATGGAATAATCAGCCAAACGACCGAGTACTGGGACGTCGACTTTAGGAGCGGTTCATAAA